GCTGACTTTCGATGCCTCTGCCTGTAATCATGAGCAAGAAAATTGAACTCTCTTGCATCAATCCCCTGAAAGCTACTGCCAGAGGTAAAGCTGGCACTTCCTGCTCAGGGCACTTTGAAGAATACATATACACACTGTATTTGGTGAGTCACATATGACAAAGTATGAAGGTAAAGTGAAATATGAAGACTAATTACAAATGCAATTTCAGATGTGTGGGGCCACGGAGATGGGTAAATGCTGTTGTGGGGGCAAATGTCACTGGGATTGTCCCTGAAGCTGGGGAGGCGGGACCTCTAGGGCTCTGCTCTGAGACCTGTGAGCTAGCCTGTGGAAGACCAAAGAGAGAGTGTGGCCCTGGTATCGCGAAGGAAGTTAGGGAATCCCAGCCCATTGGCCATAGCAACTCCCAAGGCTATGGAACAAGTTCCTTTCTCTGTGGAATATGGAGACTTCATCACAAGCAGTTACATTTTCTGGAACAGACAGAAATGTGGTCAAATGCATAAACTACAAACACATGATTGTGGAAGAAATCCACTCAGGATGAGGCTTAGCAACCGTTCCAACTGGCACCAGACACAGGTTCCACTGTGGTGACACCCCCTTCTCAGGAGGCAAGTCTTTCCCTTTCTGTTTTTTAAACTTTGCTTTATCAGTGTCTTTATATTTTAATTTGAAATGTTAATAAGACAGAGGGGGACCCAGCACGGTAAACTGGCAGCTAAAGTCCTCGCCCTGCATGTGCTAGAATCCAATATGGACGCTGGTTCTAATCCTGGGAGCCCCACTTCTCATCCAGCTCCATGCTTGTGGTCTGGGAAAGCAGTCAAGAACGGCCCAGGGCCTGGTGCGGTGGCACAGTGGTTAAGGTCCTTGCCTTGCACGCCCGGGATCCCATATGGGCGCCAGTTCTATCCCGGCAGCCCCGCTTCCCATCCAGCTCCCTGCCTGTGGCCCGGGAAAACAGTCGAGGATGGCCCAAAGCTTTGGGACCCTGCACCCATGTGGGAGACCCGGAAGAGGTTCCTGGTTCCTGGCTTTGGATCAGCACAGCACTGGCCGTTGAGGCTCACTTGGGGAGTGAATCATCGGACAGAAGATCTTCCTCTCTGTCTCTCCTCTCTGTATATCCGCCTTTCCAATAAAAAAATAATAAAAATAAATCTTAAAAAAAAAAAAAAGAACGGCCCAAAGCTTTGGGATCTTGCACCCATGTGGGAAACCCAGAAGAGGCTCCAGGTTTCTGGCTTCAGATCGGCACAGCTCCAGCCATGCAGCCACTTAGGGATTGAACCAACGGACAAAAGATCTTCCTCTCTGTCTTTCCTCCTCTCTGTATATCCACATTTCCAATTTTAAAAAAATGTTTAAAAAAAAAAAAAGAAGAAGAAGAAGACAGGTAGGAAGATTGCCTATCTGCTGCTTCACTCCCACAATACCTAAAGTCCAGGCCAGTCTGGAGTCAAGAGCTGAGAAATCAATCGGGGTCTCCCACATGGGTGGCAGGAATCCAAGTGCTTGAGTCATGACCTGCTGCTTCCCCTGGATGCAAATGCGCAAGCAGCTGAATCAGAAGTGGAAATGGGATTTGAATTAAGCACTCAGGTACATGGGCTGTGGAATGCCCAAGTGGTAGTTGAACCACTGCACCAATGCATCCTTCCAGGGTCGCTTGAAAGGGAAACCTAGAAAACAAGTAGATTCAGTGAACTACCCAGAGGCTCAGAAATGGGCTCTCACAGAGGCCAACTTGCAACTGAAATGAAATTGCTGCTGCCTCATGTGGAACGGTGCCCTCCTGGCTGATAGTCACTCATGGGTGGAAACCTTGCCACCGTCTCATCTTCGGGTCACAGGGTCACAGCTTGGGCTACTCCTGCCCTACACCATCAGAGTCAAAGCCACCAGCCAGAGCCTACCGTTGCAGTGGCAGCCGTAGCAGCAATCAAGTCCTGTGCCTCTACTAAGCCCTGCCTGGGGCTCACCACACCTCACAGGAAGTGGACAACTGTGGGAAAGGTACAAGAGGAGAAGACACCAAGGGAGCAGCTCCAACCTTGTCCTATATACACCCCAGTCTCCCCTGTTCCTCCTTCCCCCTCCCATCGTCATGATCACTGTTGTCATGGCCACACCCAACACACTGTGTCCACAACATGCCAAGCACAGCACACTTCTTTACACACGTTTCTCACACAATGTGAGAAATGTCCCCTCCCTCTGAGAATACCACCCCTGCCTCTCCCCTAACCTTCAGTGTACAGCTTGTGTCCCTCTTCCATGCAGTCTTGACCTTGACCTTGGAGAATAGTGGGTCTCCAAATGGCAAGAGACAGGATTCTGCTTTTGGCTTTGTCCTGTCAATATTTTCCATCAGGTCTTGGATGGACTCAAGGATGTCCTATCTGCATTGTCATTAGATCACCAGATGCCCAATTTGGGACTGCAGAAGTTCTCTTCATTGGCTGAAAGCATTAAAGTAAAATCCATTAGGCATGTGGTCAAGGTGAGTGGAAAACCACTGGAAAGTCCATTTGAATTGCAGCTATACCAGTAAGAGGTCTTTTCATTTTGTAAGTTGATTCAAAAAAGAAAAGATTATGAATTTGAAAGACAGAGGAAGTGAGAGGGAGAGAGACACATAGGAAGAAGTCTTCCATCTGCTGGCCCATCCCCTGAAATGGCTACAATAGCCAAGGCTGGATCAGGCTGGAGCCAGGAACCAGGAATTCCACCTGGGTCTCCCACGTGGGTAACAGAGGCCTAAAGCATTGGGCTCTCTCCTGCTGCCTTCCCAGGAGCATTAGCAGGAATCTGAATAGGAAGCAAAACAGCCAGGACTCAAAACAGCACTCTGATAGTCTTGCCCCACTTGCTGTGTGACAATGCCAGCCCCTTAGTATGGGGTCTTAAACAAGAACTCGTAACTTTTTGTGTTTCGTCCTAATCAGATGAGACAACATCACCCAAAGGTCAAAGAAGCAGCTGCTGAGAATGGAGAAAAAAGCCTTGGAAGGTTGGTTGAAGACACTAGACTATGTATTTTGGTTTCCATCTTGAAGGGGCGTTTGTTGGAAGAGGAACTTGACCATGAGACTGGAGACACAGCCAGGACCCCTGTGGATGAGTCACAGGAAAGCACACTTTGACTCAGCATGAGGAATGAGATTCGAAACACTACACCCTCTCACCTTGAATCAGGAGCTTCTGACAGGAGTGTGTCTCTCACCCTGGTGATGTCTCTGTCTGATGCCATCAGATAAGGACAGGTGCTAAGAAACTTGCATTTGCTGGGGTTGGCAGGAGGAAGGAGTGCTTTGTCTTCCAAAGGTCTTTTCAGTTCCTGCTTGAGTCTATTTGCTCTATTCGATCTTAGTTCTTATTTTCATTTTATTTGAAATGCGAGGGGTTGGAGGGGGAGGGAGGAAAGGAGAAAGGGAAAGAGAGATCTCGCATACACCGGTTTATTCCCCAAATGCCTGCAGCAAGTGAGGCTGAAGCCAGGCACTGGGAATGCCCACTGGTTCTCCCACATGGGTGGCAGGGACCCAGGTATTTGAGTCATATCTCTTGCCTCCAAGGGTACACATGAGCAAGAAGTCAGACTGGAAGCAGAACCAGGACTCAAACATAGGATGAGACAGGATGCCAGTGACTGCTGGGGCCCAGGACCAGAAGTCTGGACAAGGAGACCTGACCTCTGACCTGGAATCCTCCCTCCTTGAGAGCAGTATCTGAAGACAGGGTAGGGATGGGGCAGGGGAGACACAATGATACACACAGAGGCTAAATATTCCTCCAGCTATTGAAACAAGAGGAGATACCTGTAGGGGTGAGGTGGAAGCTGTAGGGATGTGCAATTCCCCAATGAAATGGGAGTGGAAGTTGGGGGCACCGGGAAATCAGGACCCTGTCCAAGGGCAATCTGGCTTCCAGAGGCAGAGTGAGGACAGGGATAGGGTGGGGGGTGCTGCTGTATGTGCAGTCACCAATTATACAGCATCATCAGCCAAGACAGGAAATGCCTTCTCATGGAAGAAAAAGTACAAAGATGAGCCGAGCCATAAAGGGAAAATTCATCAAGCCCTGCCAAGGGGCTTCTTGGAGGAAGAAGCCAGGACAGATGGGAGGGGGGTGAGAGCAGGTGAGCCCCTGAGAGGGACCGCCTGGTACCATGGAGACAGCAGGGAATGCTCAGGGTTCAGTGGCAGCTCCCCCAGCCCAGGCTGTGAGATTCTGCCCCAACCCCTTCCCCAACTCCAGCCACAAGGACCTCCTGTCTAAAACCTCAGGGGCAGATGACCTCTCAAATCCTCTTGGTCTGGGCCATCTATGCCAATAATTTACATACCAACCAAGATCATCTGTCGCCAGCACGTCATGATTTCTGAGTCACAAAAATAAGCCTGTGTGACTATGATGGTGTCCTGCTTGTCTATAGCAATTTCATTTTGACCTTTCAGAGGCAACCTCCCTTTGCAAACTTCTAAACCACCTGTCCTAAACCTGAGCTGGCAAGAGCCAGTAGCACTGGTTTGCCCACCTGAAGGAGAGACGGCAAGGTTCCCAGAGACTGAGGACTTTCGATCCCGCGCACACTGAGCAGGTTGGCCACCCAGTAGTGAATGAGGGATAAAAGGAAAGTTTGAGGTGGTTTGGGGCAGAAGTGATCGCGAGAGTACTTCCCTGTGCCTTTGCATCTTGTGGGAAGAAGGGGTTTCTTCTGTGCAAGGCAGTTTTCATAAAAGCTGCCAGTCCCTCCCTGGGGGTCCCAGAGAAGAAGTGAAGGTCAGACTTCACCCTCCACATCAACGCATCAACCCCAGTCAAGACAACAGTTGCCAGGAAAGCAGCTTAACTCCTTGACTGGCACTGAGACTGTGAGGGATTTTCCCTTTTTCTTTAAAAAAAAAAAAAAAAAAAAACACACACACACACACACACACAGAAAAGACCCAGTGGAAACAAAAATGACGAGTTGCTAGCAGGCAGCGGGTTCTGCACGGCCCCAGGAGACAGCACACAGCTCATTTGCTTACATTTGCAGCTGACGCCTGCCACTTCGCTATAGGCACCCCGGGGCAGAGTTTTCTAGCGTGCGTGGTTGATCAGATAGTGACCAGTCTGGCAAGTTACAGTCACAGCCATGAACTATCCCATGACCCTGGACGTGGACCTCCTGAACTACAACCTGGAGGATGTGGTGAGTAGGGACAAGCAGCTCCCTGGGGCTTTTGGAATTCTGGGTGTCCTTGACCCTAGCGTCTAAGCGAAAGGGGGTCCAGCTCTCTGGTCCCCCTCCTGCTGCTGGAGATTTGTCCAATCTGGACAAACCCTTGGGTTCCTCCTGTCTTGTGAGCCAGAGGAGACAGAAAGGAGAGCTGTGGCTCTCCACAGCCATATTGCAGAGGGAGTTGGAACACATGGACTCAAGGTCCCCCCATCGGCCAACTTGCCTTGCTGGGTGACCAGGAATGGGCCACTTTGCCCCTCCTTTCTTCAGGACAGGCTCCTGTCTTTAACTCTTGGGTTTGGAACAGGCACTGGTTGGGCAAGGGCATTGGAGTTTTTCTTAATGTCAGGGCCACCCTGCCAGCTTCGCTAATGGATCAATTGACAGGCATTGTTGCTCTCTTGCCCTATGACTATACACTTGCAATGTTGGAGGGAGGAGATGGAGACTTGCTCTCTGCCCTGGTCAGGTCCAGAAGAAACAAAGTACCCCCGCCCTGGAAACTCCACGGCAATGACTGTGTGCTGAAGGGAGACCAGATGGTAGCAGTGAGAGGCCTGGAGAGGAGCAGGGGACTGGTGTTGGGGTGCCAGAAAGCTCTGGATTCATCCTGGGAGTGACTACAGCCCTGTGTAGCCTCCTTCAAAGGCCTGACATATCTAGAGATGAGGTGTGCATGGAAGGGTTTCTTGGGTGGGCTGGAGAAATGGTCCCCAGCCCTACTTGGTGGCACAGCTGAGTTCCTCCAGTGAAGCAAAATGGTTCGGTTGATTTGGCTGTCACTGGGCTTCTGAAGTGTGTGTGGGGAGCAGTTCAACTACAGCACCCCAGGGCGTCCGGGCGCAGGCAGCAGAGGTTTCTTGGAAGTTTTCTCTTGCCCTTGGCCTGAGGATTAGGATATCTGAGTTATATTCTGGGCTAGCTCAAAAGGGACCCAAACTAGAAAGGTCTCCTAACCCTAAACTTGCCCTAAAACACCTGCCCAAACCCTCCAGCTGCCTCCCGCCATGGCCTTTGAAATTTACCTCACCAACCATGTTTCTAAACTTGACCCAAAGAAGCCTGCCTCTCTCATTTGCCCAAACCCAAGGCTGGGAAATGTGGAGGGTACAACAAGGGGTAGAAGATGGAAGGAAAGGATCAGGACCTCCAGACCTAGTCCCTGATGAAAAATCCCAGACTGCTGTGTAATGGTGAAACTTGGTGCAAAATGAAAACAAGGACTCCTTATTGAAGACTAATAGATATTATTGAGATGGCAAGAGCAGGACAATCAACCAAGTCCAGGGCCTTGTAGGTGTAGTCCTCACATAACTGCACAGATGCCCTACCTCTGAAAGCTGCCCCGAGGCCAGTCACAGGCTCTGGGCAATGCCCTCCAGGCACACTAACAGCCCACTGCCTGGCCAAGGTAGCATGCTCCTAGCCTGGGCCCCCCAGTCCTAGCCACACCTGCTTGGGTTACTGGCTGTCTTCCTGTGCCCTCGACTTTGAACTGACCACGGGCTCTGACCCAGTTGGATATCTTAGTAACCACCTGGGGACCTGGCTGTCCCTGGCTTCTGAGAAACCTCAAAAGTTTCCCCTAACTGCACGCCTCATTCCACTGCATGACCTGCTAGAGGTAGGTGGGGGCAGGGTGACAGCAAGCCATGTTCCAGGTCAGAAAGAAAACTTGCATTGCAAGGAGAAAGACTGGCTTGCTTCAAGCCACACCTCAAGAGGAGCGAGCGGTCCTCGGTCAGGCACCCAAGCCTGTCCAGACTCTCTCATCCTCTCCCTAACCCAGGCTCTGTAGAGTAATATCGGCAGACTCCCCCAGCACCCTGGGAGAAAAAGAGCAGGCAGGAGCTTTCTGATGAGGTGTTCTGACATGCGCCCATTCCCTGAAGTTAATGTACCTTCTACTTCTTGGCTTCCCACTCCCCTCCCAGCCCTCATTCAAACCAGATCTCAGCCCGCTTTTTCAGAACTCTGGCTTTCTGCAGTCCAACACTAGGTTCAGCACTGGAGGCTCTAGTCTGGAAGCCAAGTGTTGGCCTTCCTGTGAGCCCTTCTTTTCTCCTCCATCTGTTTAGAACATCCACTTTCTGAAGGTGGGTGGCCAGTGTTCCTGGATGGAGAAGAAAAGCTGGGCGGCCGAGAACTGGAGAACGCATGAGCATAGTCACTGGGGCAGCCTACCGGGAAAGCAGAAGCCCCTGGCTACAGGAACTATGATGGGAGACCGTCCCATCGGATTGGGACACCTATCAAGATGGTTAGGAGATTCCACCCTACACACACACCCAACCGAAGCAGAAGCTGCTAGAGAGCGAGGCGAGATGGCCCCAACCTGGCTTCCCCTGACCCCTCCCCAGTGACAATCACCATCAATCATGAGTGACTGGAGCATCACAGACCAGGAAGCCTGTCCACGTGCACTGTCTTGTTTTACCCAGGAGGGGTGAAGAAGAGGAACCAAAACCTGCTCAGGCTGTTTCTGGGCTTTTACCCTGGAGAGGGGAGGATCCCCCAGCCTAGCTAGGTCAAAAGTCCCAGAGCAGGGTGAGTTTTCAGCCAACAGTTAAGACATCACTGGAGGGGCAAGTGTTGTGGCATAGTGGGTAAAGTTACTTCTTGGGATGTCAGCTATCAGAGTAGCCTCAGCTACTCTGCTTCCGATGCAGCTTCCTGTTAATACACCTGGCAGGCAGCCAGTGATGACCCAAGTGGTTGGCTCTCTGCCACTCACATGAGAGATCTTGAGTTCCTGGTTCCTGGCTGTGGGCATTTGAGGAGCTGAACCAGCAGATGGAAGATCTCTCCACTTCTCTGCCTTTAAGTAGATGAAAACAAATACATGTTTGTTTGTTTTTTGGAAGAAAAACTTGGGACACCTGCATCCCATCTCAGAATACTTAGGTTCAAGGCTCTACTTCCAGTTCCAGCTTTCTGCCAATGCCTCTCGTGGGAGACAGAACTTGGGTCCCTGCAGTGTGGATGGGAGACCCCAAGGCAGTTCCTGGCCTCTGGCCTTGGCCTGGCCCAAAATGTTGCAGACGTTTGAGGAGTGAAGCAACAAATGAAAGATCTCTCTCTTTCTCCATCTGCCTTGCCCTAGCTTTCTGCCCTTCAAATAAATGTGGGTGTTTTTTTTTTTCCCCCCTTAAGTTTGAGAAGAGACACAGAGACACAGAGGGCCCAACTTGGGTGTGGCTGGAGTGTCACAGATCCAGGGCAGACCTGAGGCTGGTTGGGGACCAAGTCTGAGTTGTTCAGACACACAGGACCTGATCTTCCTTGGGGTACAGACTGGACCTGGACCCAGCTCTCTGCCAGGTTGGCCTTAAAAGCCACTGTGTATTTGGAAGAGAGAATTTGTGACACAAGAATGAGTATACTTAGGGGAATGATGGCATGAAATATTCCAAACCAGTACCACTCCAGGCGATTGTTAGAGCTACACATCCTCCTGGACCATGGGCTGTGTCACTCCACCCCTAAAGTTCACATAGGTGTTGGTGTATGAGTGGGGACCCCTTTAAACCCAAGGACTGGGTGCAGAGTAGAGGCAGCTGAGAGATCCCTCCATGACCACACTCAGAGCAGGACCATGCTCTCGATGGGTTAAGATGGAAGAGAGGTCTGACAGGCATTCTCTTTGGGAAGAGTGCAGGGGAAGGGGGTGGGAAAAGGCAGTAAGATGACAAATGGCAGGCCAGAGTCTCCAGTAGCCTATGGGGAGCATCAGTCTTCTGAAGGAAGAATGAGCTAAGAGGTCCAGACCTACATCTGCACGCTGACCTGGTCTCGGTTCCCCCAGCCCCCTGTACTCCTCAAGCCACTGACAGCTGGAATGCAAGCAGCCCTGGCTGGCTCCATGCTCCACTCCAAGATGGGAACACCCACGCAGGGACATAAAAGGAGATGGAATCTGCTGCTCCCCATGGCCAGAGTAAGGACCGATCTGCAGCCAGAATGACTCAGACCTCAGTACTGGGGCCATGCACTCAGCAGGCAGCTCTGCTTACCCGGCCCCAACCCTCAGGCTGGGAAGCAAGGCCAGGCAGGCAGGGCTGAAGATCAGTCTAGAGAAGGGAAGGCTTCCAGGAGCTGAGGTGCAAAGAACCAGTTCAACTGCTGGCAGGGCACAGCAGAAACGGGGAGCTGGGAGCAAGGAGTACCCAGAGCAGGGACCAGTCTCTTTCTTCATAGAGGAGGAATCTCCTGCCACACCCTCAGACTCAAGCACCGCCTCCCTCCCAAGAACCTCATCCATCCCAATGTGGGGCTCTTCTGTTTGCTAGGAAGTTTGCCGAGCCTTGGACGGAAACCCCACCTCCTCTGGCCCCAGACTGCTCACCCCATGGTCCAGCCCCACCCTCCTGCCTCTGAGGAGGAGTAAAGGGTGGGGGGGGGGAGACTCTTGCCAGCCCTTGAAGGCATCATTCACGGGCTCCTTCCCAGGGCAGAAACTTCCAAACCCTCAGCAAAGCAGCCACCCTTGCCAGGACCACCCAATCAGGTTGCTGTCCAGCCACCCACTTGCAGGTTTCTGTCCACCCAGAGTAAGATACCAGCAGCTCTCCCACAGTCACACCACCCCTGCTGACTCATCTGAAGCTTGCAGTCACTAGAGTGACAAGTCATTTTCCCAACGAACCGTCATTTGCAGGCCTTGCCCACGTTGGCCCTGAATGGCTGCTGTCCACCACCTGAGGCCAGGCTTTGCACTTCACCCATACAATTCCGTCTGCCTAGTGAGGGGCCCTATGCTTCTGGCTTATGGAGAAATCACAGTGTCTAAGAGTGTCCTCCTAAGCTGGGGAGGAGGGGGGTCCAAGATAGACCTGGAAGATTGCTCGGGGTTCAGCCATACCTGCCAATGGAGAATCCGTTAACCAAAAAAAGCAGCCTCGTTATTTGGAGGCTAGGTGAGACCTGGAGGCCTCACCTGTCAGGAAGAGACACAGTGCAGGGACAGGGAA